CTAAAAATATTGCCCTGTACAGGCCATAATAAGTGCATAATATATGTCATGCATGCCGTGCACACCCGTGAGGATTAAACCAAGCGGGACGTATAGGTTTTCAAGGATTCCCGCTGTTTAAAACATCTTTTTTGTGTGTGTGAAAATCGGATCGCTGCCTGGCGAGGCGTTTGTTTTTCTACATACTAGACAGACATCAGACACAACGGGCTGCAGAAAGGACGATCCCTAAACACAACGGAAGCCTGGCGAGTCTTTTAAAGGCCACCTAGGCGTGATTTTGGCGGGTTTGTCGTGTCGTGTCGTGCAGGGTCAGCTCGATGGGGAACTGTCTGTCTTCTCAAGGCGCTGATGATCTGTCCCTGCTGAACGAGTCCGAGGGGGCGAGTCTGCCCGGAGAGCCTCCGCCACCCTACCAGGTACCACATACAAGACCGCAGTGCTGTCCGACAGTCGTTCTGCTGCTCACAGCACAGTCTAGACTACAGGCGAGCTCGGATTGTGCAGTATACTGTATGTTGTAGTACTAGTAGTAATAGCAATAGCTATGTCACTGTGTGATCTTGATCTAAAAAGAAACAGGAAAAGCTCGCTGTATGCAGGTTTTGAGAAATGCAGTTTGTCATTGATATGCATTTTTGGTAGATTGTATTGATTGTGATCTCTGACTGAGAAAATGTGTGCCATGGTTGTTTTGAACATGGTGCTTAGGTACTACGATGGCATTCTAGGTTGTAAATATAAGATGATGGCCAGATCATATTTTTGAAAGCCTGTCATACATTTTAAAGGAATGCTTCCTTAAATTGCAACAAATTTGTACTTAATGTCTTTGCAAAAATAAAATTGCAACATAATAACATAGTTTCTTCTATTTGTTTTTGAATACAGAATAAAAAAAGTATAATGCATTATGTAACAGTTCAGAGAATGTGATATAAAGAACAAAAAACAACCGTAGTGATACAGAGGAACATATATATATATATATATATATATATATATATATATAGGGTTTGTCGTGTCGTGTCGTGCAGGGTCAGCTCGATGGGGAACTGTCTGTCTTCTCAAGGCGCTGATGATCTGTCCCTGCTGAACGAGTCCGAGGGGGCGAGTCTGCCCGGAGAGCCTCCGCCACCCTACCAGGTACCACATACAAGACCGCAGTGCTGTCCGACAGTCGTTCTGCTGCTCACAGCACAGTCTAGACTACAGGCGAGCTCGGATTGTGCAGTATACTGTATGTTGTAGTACTAGTAGTAATAGCAATAGCTATGTCACTGTGTGATCTTGATCTAAAAAGAAACAGGAAAAGCTCGCTGTATGCAGGTTTTGAGAAATGCAGTTTGTCATTGATATGCATTTTTGGTAGATTGTATTGATTGTGATCTCTGACTGAGAAAATGTGTGCCATGGTTGTTTTGAACATGGTGCTTAGGTACTACGATGGCATTCTAGGTTGTAAATATAAGATGATGGCCAGATCATATTTTTGAAAGCCTGTCATACATTTTAAAGGAATGCTTCCTTAAATTGCAACAAATTTGTACTTAATGTCTTTGCAAAAATAAAATTGCAACATAATAACATAGTTTCTTCTATTTGTTTTTGAATACAGAATAAAAAAAGTATAATGCATTATGTAACAGTTCAGAGAATGTGATATAAAGAACAAAAAACAACCGTAGTGATACAGAGGAACATATATATATATATATATATATATATATATATATATATATTGTGTTTTGTATATTTTATTGCATATATATATATATATATATATATATATATATATAAATTGTGTTTTATGAATTTTATTGCATTCAAAAATATCTTGTTTTGTGTTCTCATGTTTGAAAGAACATTAGTCATCATAAGATCAGTGTTACATGTATAAGTTATTCTGGACTTGTGAATGCTAAATTTTACTAAAATAATTAAAAGGTTAATGGTGTAATTTTATCTTTAGGAAAAGTTTGGGTTTTGTAAATTAAGTAAACATATTATTATTAGGTTCTAAATGTAAAGAAATTATAATTTTTTCACTGCCATTTCCAAGCTAAAATGAGAGAGAAAAAGCTATTAAAAAATGAATCTTCAAAAAAATCAATAAAAAAAAACATTGATCTTCAACTGTTGTGTTGCAAAAAGTATATTCATCACATACGAAATGGATATATCTACTAATGGCTGCAAAAACAGGATAAAATCAGTGAATAATTGGTAACACTTTAAAATAGGGAACACTTGTTCACTATTAACGAAGGGTTTTTCCTGAACAAACTCCTAATTTGCTGCTTATTAAGGGATCTAAAATATGGTTGTGAAGAATAAAGCATTAAGATGTGTTTTATAAGTACTAATAAACAGCCAATATGCTAGTAATATGCATGCTAATAAGCAACTAGTTAATAGTGAGAATTGGTCCTTAAAAAATAATTTTTTGTTATTTCCTTTATTTTGTTAAACTACATACTCTTAAAAATAAAGGTTCCAAAAGAGGGTTTTCACCGTGATGCTATAGAAGAACCATTTTTGCTTCCCCGACGAACCTTTCAGTGAACAATTCTTAAAAGAACCATTTTATCTTAGTGTGATTTTAATCTAAGGAACCTTTTTCATTTTAAAGATCCTTTTGTAAAATTGAAAGATTCCATGAAGATGGTTTTTCATGGAACCATTGATGCCAATAAAGATTAAAGAACCTTTATTTTTAAGAGTGTGCAGTCAAAGAATGTCCCGATCTATGTCTCCTGTTTCTAATAAGCTGTCCTGTGTCCCCTAACCACATGTGGGTTGTATTAATTATGTGCGATCAAACGCTCTCGTGACCCCAGGAGCGGGTGCAGGTGCCAGTGTACCATCCCACGCCCAGTCAGACGCGGCTGGCCACTCAGCTGACGGAGGAGGAGCAGGTCCGTATCGCTCAGCGCATCGGGCTCATCCAACACCTGCCCCGTGGGATATTCGACCCGGGCTCAGAGCCGTCCGACAAGAAGATCAAAGAGTGCGTGATATCCAGAAAACACTTTCTAATTAGTTGGTTGCATGTAAAAATGTTTGCCATCTGCCCACAGGTGTGTGATCTGCATGATGGACTTTGAGTACGGCGACCCGATCCGGTTCCTGCCCTGCATGCACATCTATCACGTGGACTGCATTGACGCCTGGCTCATGCGCTCCTTCACTTGCCCTTCCTGTATGGAGCCCGTCGACGCTGCGCTGCTGTCTTCCTACGAGACGAACTGAGAGTGCCTGCGCATACCGAGAGATGTGCCAATGAGTCTGCCAAGAGCCCCGAAACGCTCGGGACAGTAGATTGAACAAGTGAAGGTGGCGTTACTGTGTCTGTATGTGTGTTCAGAGACCGTACAAATTTCCAGTGTTAAACTTAAAAGGCCCCAGAAGGATGTTTAAAACCTCTCACTTGCATGTCAAAGCGCTTTTTCGAACACGTATACATGTAATTGATTTAGACGTGAAGTTTGGCAAGGTGGAAAAACCACTGAAGCATCTCTAATGAAGACAGAGTGTTTCAAAGGCCAATTTAAATTAGGGTGAAATTAATTCATTATATACTTGTTTTATTTTTTGTTCTAACCAAATTCATGAAATGTGCAATATATGCAAGAGGGACTCATGTCCTTCTGATTGGATATGAAACCCACCCATCGCCAAACTTCCTCCAATGAGATCGTCCCTTTCTGAATTTGACGAGTCCAGTGGGCGGAGTTTAATTTCTGCAGGCTGTGAATGTGCCTTTTATGGCTCGCAATTAGAATGCTGAGAAACCTTCATTACATGAGAGAAACCTAATTTACGAGAAAACATGTGCCGTGCTAATGTTTTACTTGCAATCTCGTGATGCACTAACTGGTGTTTGAGGTGGTAGTTTTACATACTTTTTCTATCATTCTCTCCCGTCTAGTGGTTTAGTGGTAGACTCTGAGTTTTCTTTCTTTATTTGTCAAGAGAGTGATAATGATACAATCACCAAACTTTGTGCACCTTTCAAATGTTGGCGACTGAAAGTCATCATTTACAGTGGAAGCTTTAAAATTATTCCTTGTTGTTTTCCTGATCAATGCAAACTTTTTTTTTTTTAACTTAGAAAAAATATGAAATTAAAAAAGGAGCACATGCTTCAGTCAGTTTTGAAACTGTTCGTAATGTCTTTGAGTCTTTTCTGTATGTTAGCTGAATATATGATCGTATACCTGTCACTGAACTGCTTGTGCAAAAGGAAGATTTTCACCTTTGTTTTGTTTGCTCAGTTATTGTGCTGGATCAATGATGTTAATCGGACTGAACTGTGTTAGGAGCCTGAAATTATATTCATAAAATATTTCATCCTGCTCAAGCTTTCCTCTGTATCTCTGTACTGAATCATTGTGACTTAAATTGTGATTGAATACCAAGAACAGTGTCTGAAAATCTCAAAATCAACCTGTTGTTGCTCTTAGATATCATATTGGATGAATTACTTAATTTTCTATCGATGATTCAGAATTTAAATGTAGCTCTAGCACAACACAAATGTAAAAATAAATGTAATAATTCTGTGAAGTACAATCATCACAACATTATATTTTGTTTCAAAATTAAATTAAATTCACTTTAAAAAAAAAAGAGTTGCTTGGTGCCATAGAAATGTCAACAAAAACATTAGCAGACATACTATTAAAATTATGTGTTTTGTTTATGTGCAATAATGGCACAAGAATAGTATTATAATACAATAAAGATTCCCAAATTCTTCCATATTTACAAGTTTTGTGTGATTCTGTCTTCCAAATACACAGATGTGATATTATTAATAATAGAAGTGTATTTACACTTCCAACTAATGAGAAATAAAATCGGAATAATCACTTCTGGAATATTCTCTTTCAGTGAAAGTAGTTGGTACAGTCCGGCTGAGTCATCAGCGTAACCAACTTCCGTTCGCAACTGGCCACCCCACACGGGCCATTTTGGATCTAATTTCTGTCCATTCAAGTGCGGTGTTTCTGCTGTTGCGGAGCCAAAATGGCGGAGTGTGCAGCTGCCGTTCTGGTGTATTGAGCGCAAGATGGCAGCTTCAGTGGAAGACGAGTTTGAAGATGCGCCTGATGTAGAGCCTTTAGAGCCGACATTAAAGAATATTATAGAGCAGAAATCACTCAAATGGATATTTGTCGGTGGTAAAGGTGGCGTGGGCAAGACAACGTGCAGGTGAGTGAATGAACGTCGGGGTTTTACAGTTGAGAGGTTGTTAGCTGTCAGTGCTGCTTTAGCAACACAACACAGATTAGTCATTCTTACATATTTGCTGTATAAAACAAAGGTTAAAAACACGTTGAAACTCAACAGCGTGTCTCTTAAAATGTATGTTTAAAAACGAACAAATGTTAAAACGGTTCTCTAAATATAATCTGCCAGCAAACCTTACATGAGTCGAAATGGTAGTTTATGATATTTCATAAAAGTACCAACGTGTGGGTAACGTAGTTCTTAAAAGCCCTTTCCTTGTGAATAATAATAATAATTGATAATTCATTAATTATTTATTAAAATATTACAGAAATATATTTAATGAAAGCGGGTGATATTAATCATCTAAGCAGCTCGTATTTACATTTCTGTCATAAAATCTCTGCTATATATACAGCCACGTTGCTATTCAATCGTAATAATGTGATTTTTACTGCAAGAGGTGTTTATAAATGGCGGAATTCACAAAATGTGTTCTTGCAGTTAAGATTGTTCTTACATGAACTGATTGACCATTTGTGATTTCAGTTCATTTGTCATTTTTGTGTTTGCTTAATGAAGAAAGCATACTGTTTTTAAAAAAAAAAATCTGCCGATATTTAAGGTTTGTCTTGATCATAAGATAATATAATGTCGTTCACAAATGCTGTTTGATTGCTGATTTCTTCTCTGTATGTAAATGATTCTATCTAGACTAAATGTTATTTAACCCTTTAACTGTCACCCCCCATTTTTTAAATAAGCATTCAGGTGCACTATCCAAACTTAAATTGTTGTAATTTATGAACACTTTGGAATACAGACATAAGGTTGGTCTCTTTTTAAAGAAGAAAATCAGCAAATTATCGCAAAAGTGGAATTTTTTCAAAAAAATCTAAGTATCAAAAAGCTATAGTAGTTTAAATTTACTGTAAAGAAAATGCACTATATTAATTTGATTTTATTTCATTTATTTTTTGGCTTGTTGTGTTGCAGCTGCAGTCTGGCGGTTCAGTTAGCGGCGGTGCGAGAGAGCGTCCTCATCATATCCACAGATCCCGCACACAACATCTCAGATGCCTTTGATCAGAAGTTCTCCAAAGTGCCCACCAAAGTCAAGGGCTACGACAACCTCTTTGCAATGGTACGTTATCAACGGCACACACTGTTTTCACTAAATGCGCTGTGTACACTGAAAACAATGCCATGACGTTCACCAACATGACCTACTCAATCCATGTACACAACCATAAAAGCAGATCTATTAAACTGCATCTTTTAGCTTATTTATACCGAATCTATAACCATCTAGTCAATGAAGTAATTGTAAATAGGTTGTGATAATATTCAGTATTTCACCCAGCTCTGCATGTCATAAATCTCTGTGTCAATTTAAAATTGAAACACGTGGCACTTGCTTAGACTGTGTGTGAGTCACTTCAGGAACCTGTGCTGTTCTTGTCAGAAACCAAGAAGTGACCAAGAAGATATGCAAAAAAAAGAAAGAAAGGGAATGATGAAACTAGGACACACAAAGTATTATTATCTGGTTTAATGGTTACTATTCTTTGAGATTTAGTTCAATATACCAGTGTTTAATTTGGCTTACTATAACCTCGTTTAGATGATGAAAGACATGAGATAAGACTGTTCTCCATCGTCGTGTCTGTCTGTAGGAGATCGACCCCAGTCTGGGTGTGGCAGAGCTGCCCGATGAGTTCTTCGAGGAGGACAACATGCTCAGTATGGGGAAGAAGATGATGCAGGAAGCCATGAGCGCTTTTCCCGGCATCGACGAGGCCATGAGCTACGCAGAGGTCATGAGGTCAGACTCGGACAACTTCCTGCATTGAACATATTGCACTGTAATAGTCTCACAATGCAATAGTTCTTTCTAAACTGCATCGTTTTGTAAAGCTCTTGTCATGGGGTGTTTAGATGAGGTTTCAGCCTTCATTAGCACTTCAAACACTGTTGCAAGCTGAGAATGAAACAAAAGGGCTCCAAAATGAATCGCAGCATTACAAACTTTCCTTCAAAGCAAAACAGTATTTGAAAATCTAAAGAGACAAAGGTAAAAGTGTGCACTTGTTGTTTTTCATAAGGGAATGAAGTACTGTGAATTACATAACTGAATTAAAAAAAAATAGTACTACAGTATTGAACTGACATTATCTTGACCTTTTAATGCAATAACACTGTTCCACATCTAGATGGCGAACCACCAACAATCACTGTTCATACAACACATCAATACAGTCATTTTGAAGCATTAAAAAAAAAAAATATATATGTGTGTATACACACACACAGGCACTGAAATAATAATTTTTTAAGGAAATAAGTCTCTTATGCTCATCAAGGCTGCATTTATTTGATCAGAAATTGTAGTATTGTGAGATTGTTTTTATTTAAAATAACTGTTTAATATTTGAATCGATTGTAAAATATAATTTATTTCTGTGATATCAAAGCCTTGGTGAGCAGATTTCTTTCAAAAATATTATAAATCTTAATTATTTCAAACTTTTGACCACCAATGTCAACAATATATAATATAAATAAAAATATATAATTAATATAAAATGTATTTATTATTTTATTATATTAGTAATAAAATAATTTCTGAATTTATCCCATTCCCATGTCTCTTTTTTTTCTTTTTTTTTTCTTTTTTTGTAGGTTAGTGAAAGGCATGAATTTTTCAGTGGTGGTGTTTGACACGGCCCCGACGGGACACACTCTGCGTCTGCTCAACTTCCCCACCATCGTGGAGAGAGGACTGGGCCGCCTCATGCAGATCAAGAACCAGATCAGCCCCTTCATCTCACAGGTATCAGTGTGCAGCCCTAGTACAATAGTGCACTATACTAGTGTACTGTAGAGAAATGTATGAAAGTTTACAGAAAAAGTATGAATGTTAATTAAAAAAAAACAAAAAAAACAATTTGACCTCTATTCTACCTACAATTAAACTGACTTAAATATTAGGTTTAAGTGTAGTTCTGGCAAACCGTTGCAGATGTGTAACATGTTGGGCCTGGGAGACATGAATGCAGATCAGCTGGCATCTAAACTGGAGGAGACGCTCCCCGTCATCCGCTCAGTCAGCGAGCAGTTTAAAGACCCGGTGAGTGTCACGCCTCAGTGGTCCCCGTTAAATGCCTGATCAGAAAGATGAAAAATGTTGATTGCTAAATGTTGTTTCCTGCTTGGCATACAGGAGCAGACGACGTTTATCTGCGTGTGCATCGCAGAGTTCCTGTCTCTGTATGAGACGGAGCGTTTGATTCAGGAGCTGGCCAAGTGTCGCATCGACACACACAACATTATCGTCAACCAGCTGGTTTTCCCCGACAGCGAGCGGCCCTGCAAGATGTGTGAAGCCCGACACAAGATTCAGTCCAAGTACCTGGATCAGGTGTGTGTTTGTGATGAGTTATGACACATGACATTTATACTGTAACAGGATTTCTGTTCTCATCGAATGGAAAGTGTCTGTCAGTGGAGGTTCTATACTGTGCCCCTTTTGTCTCAGTAACTTTATGGTAAAACATGATCTATAGCAGGGGTTCTCAAAGTCTACATTCAAAGGTCCAAATCTGAATTTTCATCAGTGTCAAAGGTCCGGACCGGAACAATTGGTTATTACAAAACTTGTTTTTAATAAACATACATAATATGCATAACATTAATAACAATTGCAAAAGTGGCAAAACAATTAATTTAAGTGTCAGCAATAGAGGTCGACTAATATGGGTTTTTCTCTGGCTGATGCCGATATTTAGAAATCAGGGCAGCTGATGGCCGATATATGATGCTGATTTTTTTGGCCGATATGTTTGGCCAATTTTCTTTTTTTTCCTCCATCTCATTAAAGGGAGTTTGAGCTTGAATGTTTATTGCAGGGTACAAGATAGTAATAGCTAGTAGTAGTAGTAGCCTAATTCATAGTAATAATACATGGCTCAAAGCACCTTCTCAAAACAGTTCTGAAGCATGCTTTTTGTTTATGTTTGCTGACAGACACCAGTGTTTCCCACAGACTTGCAAATGCAAATTCATTCTCTGCCAGCAGGAGGCGCTGTTGGAGCAGAGAT